CAAGTGACTTCGACAAGCCCACGCTTGCTTTTTCACTCCTATTCGACTCGCAAGCATTCGCTCCTCACCCCCCTTGGGCCGTGTTGAGTAGCAGCCTTTAGTCTCCGACCCTCTTTTCACTTAGACAGTTAAACGCCTATAGTGTTTGACTGGAAGCTCATCCCTGCTCAGTGACTCAAGTTTGCGCTAGTTCATTTCCGAAAGGATTCGACAGGTTGACTTCAACTACTTTTGTTGTTGGACATTAGCATCGAGAGGTGTTAGTTGACAACACGTACCCGGACGCTAGGCCGAACTGGCGTGTTCGTTAAAAAGTATAACCTACGTGGAGTGGGGAGAACACACATACGTAGGCTGTACTGACATCTTGGTCCGGGTATTCAAATACCTTTTGACTGGTGGTTGCTTAGGTGTTCCAGACACTAGAGCCACTGCATCTGTCTTCCTTGATTTATTAATGCCTTGGGGTGGCTTCTTTTTTATTTACGTCTACACGGTATCCGGTGTTACTGCGGTTGGTACTTCGTACATTTCTTCTGTCAGTACCCCGCCTTTCCGGTATACAGTGTTACTTGGCGTTACTGCTGCGCGTAACCGGTCCAACCCACCTGGAACCTTATCCTGCCTTTCCTTATGAGTAAACTTAGTGGGCCTCAGCGGGATAGGACGTGGCGTCAGACTTGGCAGAAGGACGCTTCTAAGGTGGATTTTTTCGTCCGAGTGACGCTGTCTTCGCTAAGGCCGAAACAGCCTTGTTAGATCCGGATAGAGTCAGTCAAGGCAAGCGGAATACAGCCCTCGCAGGGGTGCCTCAACAAGTGTCGACTGAGCTATGTCTGCCTATGTGGATTCCTGCTCGTGACCTCCCCGCGACTTTTTCCAATACGGAAATAATGACGTCGCTCGGCTGGACGAACCAAACACTTTTGTGGTCTGAGATTCCGGAACACTAATGGGACTCAAAGACGATCCGTAACGCTAGTATCAGTTTTACGTGTACGGATATTGAGGTCTGTACGGAATTAGGCGGTACGGTGATGATCATTTGTGGTCGCAAATAGACCGTCCAGACGTACTCCAAGTACTCTCACTGTTACTATGTGGATCTTTAGCGCCTACCCGACGATGTGTCGGATGGGCTGATCTACGATTGGATCACCAAACAAGACACTTCGCCGGTGCATATTACTATGGTTAATGTGATTGGAGGTCTTCGTTCACGCAACCGCCGGGTGTACTTTAACCGAAAGTCATCCCATCATCGGTCATGATCGCCAAAAGCACGCCGCTTCGTCAAATCCAGTTTAATGGTCAAGGCTTTACGGTGGTGCATCGTCGTCAAGGATCCTACAACCAGACTATTCCTCCCTTTATTGAGGCCCTTCGGACTACAAAGGGCTCGGCAAAAAAGGCGTCGGCCACTACGGATTCGTCTAAATCGAGCTCCGAGTCTTCGGCTTCGGCGGTTGAGACCTGTCCCGATGATAATGCCACAATGGCTGATGTTTCGGATCACATCCTTCCTCCTTCGACGACGAGAATGATGCCAACGATAACACCATTATGGCTGATGCTTCCGGCTCTGATAGTGAGCCGCATAGTGGAAATCTCTCGGACTCTGATTTAAGTTACTCTGGTGCTATAAACGATAAAGAGTCGGCTATTAAGGTAGACCCTACGTCCATATGGCCCGTCGGAAAGGCGCCCCAATTTCCGGTAGGAGCTGTCGACTCAGAGGCCTACACCCCCGCCCGTATTAAGCGGGCTAAGTGCTTGGTCTTTGGCTATTACGACTCCGGAATCTGAGGTGCAACAATTTCATCCCTCTTTATTGGAATATCCGTTTGTTTCTTCACTGAATTCTTACGAGTGGCTTAGTGAAGGGACGAATGGCTTTATTCCTCTGGATCAAGACAGTCTTATGGGACCGGTCCGTCGACCCCCCCAAAGCAATTAGTTTATTTGTGGAATATCTGGCGGTATCCGAACGCATTCTGAATACGGCGGTTTACCAAGGTTCAGTGGAAGCCTTAAAGCTACCGGAACTTTGCTCGGTAATTGATGAATTTTTGGGTACCTTAACTTCCGAGCAGGACCCGGATAGCGTCCTATCCACAATTCAAGCCCAAACCAGCCTGTTTCGTGTTCTGCTTGACACCAAAGCTGCTGTCAATTACCAGCTCTTATGATCGATATTTTTTGGTCATGCTGTGCTTCGTGTCGCTGCAGCTCACCCGTCTTCTCCAACGGATGATGGGTCACTTTTGCAGCGACTTGGTGGCTTGTACCCAAATAAGTCGGACTTCGAATTTCAGTCCGTCCTCAGCCAACTGTGCCCGGATCAGGACCAATACTGGGGCCAAGTCAGACTGACTGAGCTCGATTTGGCTCTGCAAATTGTGGCACCCAGCTTCTACTTGGACCCACTGAAATTGGGTAACATCATAGGGAAGGCGGCTTCGTTACTGCCCCACCCTCTTTGGCTTCTTTGGGATGACCCGACCTTGGCGTCGGTCGTTCTCTCTCCCTTGTTGGAGCGAGTTTTATCAACTGCAGTTCCCGCTCATTAGAATGACACCCTTGATTTCTTAACGGGAAGGGCTACCATTGTGGCCTCCCAACCCCTTGCTTTACTCTAAAGCGTGTTGGACCCTTCGGGGATACTCGATTAATACAAACGGGTTCAACGCCGTTTCTTTATCGATTCTTGACTACTTCTCTAACAATTTTCACCTCGTTGGACTCCAAGAAACCCGTTTTACGAGGAAAAGGGCTTTGAACGGGCGACGCACCAATGGAAGACCGCTTCTTGCCTTAACATGATTTTTGGTCGCAAGACCACATGGATTTCTCTACCGGGTTGGCGGGTGTTGGAATTCTTCTTACGCAAAATGCCCCATTCACGGCCTTGAAGACGAGTTACTCTTCGCTAAGGCATATATCAGGAACTACTTCAGCGCTATTCGCTAGTTCGGGGTACATTGGACTCGGTCCCGGCATATATCAATGTGGTGTATGCCCCCATTTAATCTGGACTACGGTCGGAATTGTTTTAGACCCTTCCCGTCATTTTGAGGACGACGCCCATCATATTGTTCTAGGGGACTTAAAAACAGTTCTCTCAAGCCTGCTCGACCAAGCTCGCTTTGAAAATCGTGCGCGTCGTCAAGGCCGTGAAGAATTACTGGACTGGATGTCGGCCCTCACCTTGGTCGATACCTGGCGTCTTCAACATCCGGATCATACATCGCTAGTAATCAGTATTGGTAACATTGTTTACGCGACTTTACCAAATTGGTTGACACACCAGCGAACACAGCGATTGACACCAATGTTTAAGCAAAAATTTCTAGCAGCAGATGTACCGTCAGTAAAATTCCTTAGAAAAGGTACTACAGCTTTTACACAGATATTTCTAGCAATGGACGGGTACAACACGGACAGGAATGAGAACGGTCTGATGCCCAAACAGGCATAGCCAAGTGGGGTGCATCTGTTGGTAGACGAACTAAATAACCGTGATGAACCTCACCCATAAACAATTGTCGATGGTTTCGGTAAACGATTGGGCGATCCAATCTGTCCAAACTGACGTATGGACAGTAAAAAGACGACTTGCATAGTGAACAATTTCCAGTTTTAAAGGCAGTCTAAAATGCTGCGAGGCACATCAAGGATTCATGGAAGTGGTACACACATTTTTGCATGCCCGAAGCATTAAGATATTAGTGAGTGTGCGAAAGATTGAATGTTGATGTAACGGGGTCACACTAGCCATTGGCTAAATTGGTCAAAGACCTCTCATAAATGATATGGATGAATGTGTGTGACCTTAGAATTTATATCAGCAAGGGAATATTGATTGATCGACATTCCCAGGTTTACGGTACTTAATGTGTACGTACTTTGCACCTTCATCATACGATGACTGAATGATGTGCCAACCATCCATTTAGTCCGAATACTAGAATTTGGATCAGATCTAATTTAGTAAAATTTAGGGTACTTAAAGAAGGATTTTGTTTGATGTAAAAAATAAACAAAGTTCAGTTCTCATTTTGAGCAGAAGTTTCCAGATATTCCCCCCCCCTTCGCACACTGTGCCCTGCAGTTCCTTAAAACTGCCGTAGCTTAGAGAGTCCTTAGACTCCTACTCCCCTGGATATTGTGCTTGTGGTTCTCTAGAACTACACAGTAGTTGAGCTGTTAGCTCGTAGATTCCACCCGAGTTTCGTAAAACTGGGTGACTCTTTAACTTGATATAGTAGCTACGTAGAACAAATAGGCTGTCAGCCGTAAGCCACTAGCTTGTTAGATAAGCATTCCTCTGAATTAAAGAGCTGTGTAGCTCCGCTACACTTGGTAGCACTTGTAGTCAATTCTACACCTGATTCGTTTCAACTAATCCTCTGTGAGAGATGGAGGGTCTAGACTACATCTCTGAGGCTCATCTTATCGCGCTTAATGAGCTCAGATCGTTGATAGGGGTTGAGCAGGTCGACCACATTGTGGCCCAAGGCCCAGAAGTGCTTAATACACGTCTTGAAGCATTTATGCAGTTTGAGGCTACGCTGATAGGGCAGGTCCACGACTATTTAGCCTCAGCCATACCTACACGGTATTATTCAATACCTGAAAGTGAGTCTAAGACTCGTCCGCTCACTCTTAGTGTTAATACTTTCGAGGGGAAAGAGGGGGAAAGTCTCCCCTGGTTCCGAGAAACCGATATGGCTATTGAAGCCGCCTTGCTTCAATCGGAGCAACAGAAAGTTGACCTAGCCATTTCTAAGCTCGGTGGTAGAGCCAAAGAATGGGCTCTTACCTGTGATACGTCGGTTAGCGCTGCGTTTCCCACATGGGATTCGCTTAAACGAGAGATGTCTCGGGTGTTCGCGCCACCGAATCAAGCGTATCGTGTTCGCTCTCGATTACTAGCCGCCAGGCAGGGAAGAGAGAATTATCGGACTTTTGTCCAAGAGTTGCGAACTCTCATAGCTGCTATGCAGCTGGACCCTCTTCCAGAGCAAGTCCGTGTCACCATTTTTATGGAAGGCCTTCGTACGGGGATCGCGAGGACGGAAGTCTTCCGCGTCCACCCCTCAACGTTTGAAGAGGCTGTAGACATAGCGTTGAATGCTGAGTTCAACTTTAAAGCCGCTCGCTATGGCACTCATGGGCATGCCCAAAGATCATTTGATGGGGCTGAGCCCATGGACCTCAGCCATGCTGAAGAAGAAGAGAGAGCTCTTCTGGCTGTTGAACAGCAACGTAAAATCCGTAGATGTTACATGTGCGGGAGCACCAAGCACTTGCGCCCTCAGTGCCCACTGCGGAAGCCGCTTCAAAGTCGGCCGAGCCGCAATCCGCCTTCTAACCCAAAAGTGGGTACGGAGCGGGAAAACGGCAACTCCCAGTAGGCGCGGGGCGCCCTACTGGGGAGGAACTAGGTTCTGCCGAATCTTTAGGTGGTAAAGATAGACAGGGCTTAGCCCCAGACGGTCTTGTGGAAGTTTTCATGAGACGTGAGTATAAGCCAGGCTTGTTAGTGGCCTCGGCTAAAATTAAGGGCTTTGAAGAGCCGTGGTCAATATTAATTGACTCTAGAGCGTCAGGCAACTATGCTCGACGCCAGTCCCTAGAGGGATGTCAGCAATATGCTGAGGCGCTGAAAGCGCATGAGGGTGATGTTATCACTGTTCGCTTAGCGACAGGCACTCGTGTCACCGTACCTAAAGTTCCGTTGAACTTAGGTGTGAAATTATTAGATTTCGATAGTATCGAACGTTGTCTTGTCCTGGATTTGGACTCGAGATATGATCTCATCCTTGGGATGGCTTGGCTGGAACGCCATGAGCCATGGATTGATTGGAGGTCGAAGGCCTTAGGCGCAACGCGCAATGTTCCTAGTGAAGCTTTGGAGAGTCATGAACCCACCTTTGCTAGGCAACAAAAGCGCTATTGGCGCGCGCCACTGACGGAGTCTGTCAGTGTGCTTGACATTGGAGTGTCTGAGCTAGTTAACTCTGATGTCATTGACAATAGTGAAACGGCACGTATTCCGTTGAGTGACACTAGTAATGACAGTGAATCACTGAATGCTGGAAGCATTGATGGCTTAAGGCCGAGTCATCCTGGGTGTGATCCCTGTGATGCGCGTGGAGTGGCACGTAAACATCCACAGAGTGAGGTCGGCCGTGATGGCACCCCACTTAATGTCGGTAATGACATTGGCTCTGAGAGAGAACAGGTCGAGGTTAAAGATAATCTTCACCTCGTGGAACTGGATGTTCCCAACACGTTGAAGTGTCAAGTCTTTGCACAGAGACGACAGCGACGCCAGATGGCGGCTGTGAAAAGAAAGGCTTCTGCCATGACCCAGAAGGACACTAGCGAACAGTTGTACACGTTAGTCAATGGGGTGTCGGGTGCGATTGATGGAGAAGTTGGCCTCGAGGCCCTCCCATCGATTAACGCTCTGCTAGAGCTAGACGAAATGTCTGTAGACGAATTTCATCAAGCCTTAAAGGCTGGTGCTTTGTCCGATATGGTGGTCCTTAGACCTGATCTTGAGTTGAACTCGTCATCCCTTGTAGATGAGACAGTCCTTGAGGACATTAAAGTTGCACTCAGTGCTCGCAGTGGATCTGCCATTTTGAAGGATCCTTCGGATCCCTTCTATCCTTTGGTAAAGGAATTTCGAGGACGTGGTGTGTCATGATCCACCATCCACTCTACCTCCCGACAGAGGTGTGCGTCATGAAATTGACCTGGTCCCTGGGACCAAATATTGTGTTACACGTCAATGACCATTGCCTAAGGAACAGTGTGACGTCATTGAAGAGTTCTTTCGTGCAAAGCACGCGGCAGGCATTGTGCGGGAGAGCAAATCTCCACACTCGACACCGACATTTTGTGTCAGAAAGCCTAATGGTAAGTGGCGTATTGTGCACGCTTACAATAAGCTCAATGCGGCCACTATACCTGCGCAGACACCTATTCCTAGAAAGGATGTTCTTCAGAACGCTATGGTGGGTTGCACCATGTTTAGCGCACTCGACTTAGTCGATGGTTATTACCAACTGCTCATGCGAGCGAGTGATATCCCGCTCACAGCGGTTAGCACGCCGAGTGGCATGCTTTGGGAGTGGCTTGTTATGCCTCAGGGACTTTCTAATGCCCCCGCAACCTTTAATCGTCTCGTGACGCAGTTGTTCCGCCCTCACAGAGGATATGCACAAAGCTATTTTGATGACATTTTTGTCCATAGCCGTGCAGAACAAGGAAGATCAGATGTGGAAAATCACATTGATCATTTACGAGCAGTGCTCGGGTGCATGCGCACCAACAAGTTGTATGCAAATGCATCTAAATGCATTTTTGGTGCTGAAGAAATCCCTTTTCTAGGGTGCTTCATTGGAAAGCGCGGCCTACGGGCAGATCCCGCTAAGGTAAAATCCATTGTGGATTGGCCAGTTCCGTCTAACCCAAAAGACTTGCGTAAATGGCTTAAGTTAGCCAATTACTTACACAAGTATAGTGCAAACTATGCTGACATGGCAAGGCCATTAACCAACCTCCTTAAAAAGGACGCGGTTTTTGGTGTTGGGACTCGGTTCAGGAACAAGCTTTTCAAGCTGTTAAGGAGAGTCTCCTTCATGCTCCAATTTTGGCTTTGCCTGACCCTGATCTGCCCTTCAGTGTCATATGTGACGCATCTGATTTTGCCATTGGCAGTGCATTGTTGCAAACCGATGTCGATGGACATGAACGCGCCATTGCGTATGAGTCTCGCCATCGAAAAGCTGCTGAAAAGAACTACCCACTTCATGACAAGGAGTAACTTGTAATGCAGTATGCTCTTGTCAAGTTCAGAGTACATCTACTTGGCTCCAAGCCGTTTGTAATCTACACGGATCATGCGTCGTTGCGCACTGCGACCCAGTCGCCTCATCTCTCGCAACGTATGGCCCGTTGGCTTTCATTCTTTGCTGAGTATAACTTCGAGGTGAAGTATAAACCAGGGAAGCAGAATGCTTTGGCCGATGCGTTATCACGCCGGCCGGATTATGAGCTTGCTCATGTTACGACTCTGTCGTCTTCTATCCCTGATTTAATCCGTGCGGCTTATGCCAAGGATGATCAGTGTGTCGCGTTGTTACGCGCACTCGGTTGTGATGAGTTTAAAGACTCGGACATTAAATTGTCGGCACGCTCGCGTGCAGGGCTACATCAATATTCTTTCGATCGTGGCCTCTTGTGCTATAGCACGGATGCGGCGGATACTCCGCGCATCGTAGTACCTCATGATGAGGAATTGAAGTATCGTATCCTCTTTGAGGCGCATGATACAGCTTTGAGCGGTCATCTCGGTCGAGAGAAGACCTATGGCTCGGTCAGCCAACACTATTGGTGGCCCAAATTATATAAATGGGTGAGCACATATGTGCGTACGTGTGAAACGTGTCAACGGGTCGGAACCCCTCTCATACGGCTGCGCCTTTGGCAAGTTTGCCTATACCCACGGGTTGTTGGGAATCCATCAGTATGGACTTTGTGTTTGGTTTGCCAACAGATTTGGACGGCAACACTGGTATTGTGGTCTTTGTTGACCGTTTGAGTAAGATGACTCATTTAGCGGCTGTGCCGGCTTCGATTGATGGTGAGCGTACAGCACAGCTGTTTATCGATCGCGTGTTTCGTCAACACGGTTTGCCTTTGGCAATTGTTTCAGATCGCGATCCTCGCTTTACGGGGAAATTTTGGAAGTCCATCTTCAAGGTGCTCGGCACCAGATTGGACATGTCCACCGCGGATCATCCGCAGACCGATGGTCAAACTGAACGCGTTAATCGTGTCATTGGTGACATTTTGCGCAGCGTTTGCGCAGATACGCCTCGGCGTTGGAGATTCTATGCTTCCGGTGGTCGAATTTGCCATTAACAATTCGGTCCATGCCTCTACTGGCTACACCCCGTTCTATGTGAACGGCCTCACCCATCCGCGCGTCCCATTGACGCTACCACTCCGTGGTTCCGGGCTTGGTGGGAGAGGGATTGCCGATCGGCTTGCTGATGTCAGCCCTGCCACTGTTCAGAAAAAGGTTGGTGAGTTCCTTGCAACAAGGTTGAATGTCTTACGACATGTGCGAGATGCAATGGCTGATAGCCAAGATAAACAAAAGGAACAAGCAGATGTCAAAGGCAGAAATTGTATTGAAAGTTATGAGGTCGGAGACCAAGTCTTGCTAAACGCTAAAAATCTACCTACAAATGTAGTGTCAGCTGTTTTTAAAAAGAAGTTGCGTCCACGCTTCATTGGACCTTTTACGGTCGTGGCCAAGAAGGGCCTTGCGTATACGCTCAACTTGCCGCGCAAATTGCGTACACATCCCGTCTTTTATGTCGGCCTGCTTAAGCCATACCGGGACCCGTCCCATGTTGACTTGAAGGCGCTTGCGCCGCGTACATTGGCGTTGCCACAGGATGTTGCATCCGAATTAAGAGGTCAAGTTGAGCCTCGACACGAGTCTGAAGTGACTCCATCATCTGAAGACGGGCGCGATCGCCTTCCAACGTCGCCAGACGAGATCGGGCTTCGCCCAGGGCGTTCTGAGTCTGACCCAAAGTCTCACGGAGATCCTCCACTTTCTTCACCAACTCAGCATGGCTTTCAGCCGATACTCCGACCGCCACCGGTGTTGCTTGATAAGCAAGGGAATTTGTAGTTCCATGTGGAGCGGGTACTTCAACGACGTCGTCGTCATGGTCACTACCAATATCTGGTGAAGTGGCGTGGGTACCCTGAGTCTGAAAACTCATGGGCGTATGAGATTTCACTTTGGCAAGACTGCTCATACGCCATTGAGGTTTTTGAGCGCCACGGCCGAGCTCGTCTTGACGAGCGTCATGCTTATTTATCGTCGTAGTGAGAGCGGGCGAGTTCGTGTCAAAGATTGACGTGAACTCGCGGCTGCAGAGGCAGACGAAGCATAGCGGAAGCGTGATACTCCGCGCAGACGGCCTCTGGCCTTTAACTTCTCGAAGTCATAGCGAAGCTTTCGCTCTAGACGAACGTCTGCCACACTGGGACTTCCGCGTAGTGCGTGCATGCTAATGAGGCGTAGAAAGCCATGCATGCTGCGGATGAACATGTCGTCCTTTGCAGTCTCGTCCCCATCTTCGGACATAATGATTCGTATACCCCTAATTTGTGGAACCGGTGTTCCTTGGGCCTGCTTTTGCAGCCGTTCTCTGTAATGACTCAAAGTCATCACAGTAGGTGCCAAGTACCTCTCTCAAAAATCCTTGCGGCATTCGATATCAGTGGGCGTTTTCGCCTCGGGGCCGGTGTAACATGTTGCCGAAGTATGGCGTGACACTTGACGAATTAGTTCTTCCACGCCAGGTGGAGTGAAAGTATATTCACTGTGTCGTTGCAATGTTGTCTAAACTTCTGACTTGCGCCGTGCGCTTGCCGCTTGATCGGGCATGCGTTGTTGCTCCTTATCAAGCGGGTTAGTGATAATGGGTGTGTTCATGTGGGACATTGCTCCCAGCGCTGTGAGCGCATTCGCGGCACTATGTTCGGGGAACGGAAAAGGTGCCGGATAGGAAACGTCCCCACGCACAGGCGTGTTGGGTTTGGATTACTCCTCCACCTCGAATTTGGTATCACTACCACTGTCATAGTCCACGTGCTCGACACCAAGGAATTCGGCTCGATCCTTATCTATAGGAGGTGTCCAGGTCGGTCCATGTGAGTGTGTTGCTTTTGTAATAAGTCTCAATGGAAGAATGAATCGAGTGACGTTTGTGGTAACGTCAGTCTGGTGGGGGAGGGTGTAACGGGGTCACATTAGCCATGGCTAAAGTGGTCAAAGACCTCCCCTAAATGATATGGGTGAATGTGTGGGACCTTAGATTTTATATCAGCAAGGGAAAATTGATTGATCGATATGCCCAGGTTTACGGTACTTACCGTGTACGTACTTTGTACCGTCGTCATTTGATGACTGAGTGATGTGCCAACCACCAATTAGTTCGAATACTGGAATTTGGATCAGATCTAACTTAGCATGATATAGTGTAACGGGGTAGCCCGTTACAGGAAATTGACACCAAACGGTGTTAATAGGAACAGTGTCCAGCATGACAATATCCTACCAATGTTTTCCGAGATGGATAATATTGAAGGAATATTATCCCCTTTTAGGATATTATTATGCGCTGATTCAAGAGTGGTGGATAAGACATATCAACCATAGCTTGCCACCAATCGCTGCTAGATGCGCGCGATGAGTGGTGAGCAGGTTGTCGTCATACGACGACGTAGTTTAATGTAGTCGGGTGAAGATTAAATTTATTTTGATAGCTTGACTATAAGAAATGCAGTTCTCTTTTTACCCTTACTTGAACGAGTCGTTAAAGCAGATTAGCTTCCTAAGCACGTACTAGTGTACGTGAAGTCTCGCGGCACCCCAAGCAAAGGGTGCCCCGTTACACCTTGTAGCACCCGGACTACGAAGTCCGTCCAACGACTACCTAGTGTCCGTTCAACATGAACATGTTGGACGTAGAAGACGACAGCTTTCACGTCACACGTAGAGGGGACTCCTATCTGAGTGACACAGAATGGGAGGTAGTCGGACGCATCAGTGTGCACATGGGTAGATTTTCCATCAGTGGCATGTTGGACTCTCTACACAGAGACGAGCAACATGCTGCTATCGACAAGTTCCTACAACGGGAACTTGTCGTCAAAAGACAGAAGATAGCCTTGCTACAACAGCAAGGCTCTCATCAGTCGATGGGCGGGCCGACGCACACGCGTCGACCCAAAACCTTGAGGATTGATATCTCAAGGTTCAAAGGAACCGATGAAGATTACCTTTTGAGATGGTTCATCGAGTTAGACGATGCTATCAGGGCCCGTCACATCGAAGGTGACGAGATGTAAGTCACCTTCGCCCTGTCAAATTTGACGGGACGAGCAAATACTTGGGCCTTAGGGCTTAAGCTTCACGACACAAACGTGTTTGAGTCGTTATAGATCTTGAAGTCTCGGCTTGAAGAGACGTTTGAGCTAGCGAGAGACGAGTTCAGAGCACGCTCTGCACTTTTGAGGCTGAAGCAAGGTAAGCGTGGTGTGCATGCTTACACACAACTTCTACGCTACCTTGCGAGTAGCGTTACGGAATACCCTGTTGATGAGCATACGCTCATCGAAGTGTTCATCTACAGCATTTTAGATGATCCGTGAAGACCTACATGTTCCGAGAGGACTTCCATACGCTGGAAAATGCGATAGCGTATGCGGAACAAGAAGACTTCAGCCTGAGACAGTCTCAGGATAACTCATCAATTTATCGTCCGACGAGACGACAGGAAACCGGAGGTCCCGAACCGAGATGGACTTCTGTTAAATCGCGAGCGAGAACTCTCGTTCTCTGAGTCACAAGCGAACGGCAAGATGCCATTGCTGTCAGAAGATCGGACACTACGCCCGTGAGTGTAGTGTCCCAAGCACCGCATCGCGTCTTAAGACAGGACGTGTTGACCGCCGTTGGCCAAGGAAATGTCTAAGGCGCGGATCCGACCATGTCGCTGAACCACGACAACAAGTCGGACCGCCAAAAAAAAGGTCAGGGTCAGAAGGGGCGGAGCACCCTGCTGATCCAGCAACGTCAAGAGAATTGCAGGACTCTTGACGCAGATTGCTTCTAACACACAGTCAATGTGAGTTACTGCCCCTAGTGATGAGGTGTCCCTTATTACGTTTAAGATCGAAGTGACAAGTAGAATGTCACTTCGCACCCTAGTTGACTGTGGGGCGTCGAACAGTTTTATTCGACGCCAGTCGCTAGAGGATAGTAGGCTTAACTATGTTGAGCGAGAGTTCCCTTCAACGAGGTTGACGGTTTGCCTTGCTACAGGCGCAGCCGTAACTGTGAACAAACGTGTAGTGGGAATCCACTACACGCTAGAAGGAAGGGAGTACGATGATGACTTCATCGTACTAGATTTGGATGGCAGATTTGATGTCATCCTCGGTCTGCCATGGCTCAGACGATAAGAGCCATGTATCACTTGGCATCATCGATCTGTGAAGATGCCTGCCGTTTCTTCATCAGATGGCCATCTGATGAACGTCTTGGAGCGTCCACAAGCGTATAGATGTACTACGAGTAAGTGCGATGACCTCACTTGTGGTACGGTCGTTAGTAAGACTTCACAAGATCACATTATAGAAGACCACTACACTGTATAAACAGCTACCGGCACCTGTGTAGAGACACAGGATGCACTGAAGGTTCACCGCTAGAAACGATCGAGTGGAAAGGAACACGGAAGCACACCAAAAAGGGTGCATCCAAGATGAGAGATTCGTGCTTTCCAAGATGAACAAAATGTTGAAGCGAGATCGGCCATTAGAGAGTCGATCGTAGAGCAAGCCCGATCGACTGAAAGAGAGTCGATCGAAGAGGACGTGACTGTGTTAGTGCACCAACAGTCAGTACTCATATTGCAAGTCATTCCAGGGTTCTTGAGAGTGATAACTTTTGAGAGAGTCATGTTGAGGGTGTGGATCCCCAACCACCTGCGGATGTGTATTCCCAGTAGATCGCCGAGACAGTGAATGTCTTGGTGAAGGACGGATCAAGTGTAGGCGCTTATACACTCGATCTGGTAACTCCCCCGAAGTCAGCTTCGGATGTAGTCAAGTTGCCAACGCTAGAATCTAAAAGATTCTTGCGAGATCTGCGTAGTGACAAGATTAAGCAGATCTGCGTACTCTTCACAGAGGACGAGTACATCGTCGATATTCGGTCGGCACAAGTGTTTGCTGAGAACGAACAGGTTCTCAGTAGTTCATCTATGGACGAGAGTGTCCTCGATGAGAAGACTCGGATTGAGCATTACACGTCTCAATCTTGTGAGTCTTTGACGACAAATCCTTTGTATAAGGATTTGGTTGAATTCAGGGATGTTTTCTGAGTCCGTGCCATGCAAGCTGCCAAAGGACAAAGGCACTCGGCATGAGATGCAACTAGAACTCAGTTCGAAGTACTGTGTCATGAAGCAGTAGCCACTGCCCCGTGAACAGGTAACAGCGATCGACAAATTCTTTGCCGATCGTTTAGCGGCCGGTCATGTAAGGTAATCAACATCCCCACACAGCTCTTCGAACTTCTGTGTGCGAAAGTCCACATGAGGGTGGCGGATAGTGCACGCGTTCAACAAACTGGACGCTGCAACGGTACCGGCTTAAACGCCGATACCAAGAAAGGATGTCATCATAGATGGTATGGCAAAGAGTACCATCTTTTCGTCCATGGATCTAGTAAATGGCTTCTATCAGATCCTCATGCATGAACGGGACATCCCGTACACAGCAGTGAGCACCCCGGTGGTATGCTCTGGGAGTGGTTAGTGATGACACGGGGGCTAAGTTACGCCCCTGCAACGTGCAACAGATGTGTTACCAATATGTTGTGATAGGTGCGAGATTTCGCACCGAGTTACTTCGACGATGTCTTCGTCCATAGCCGGGCTAAGGATGGAAAGACGGAAGCGGAGGTTTATAGAGTCCACGTCCGGAAGGTTTTTAACCTTTTGCGAGAGCACAAATATTTCGCGAACCTCAATAAGTGTATATTTGTAGCGAGTGAAATACCACTTCTTGGGTGCATCGTAGGTAAACACGGCGTACGACCTGATCCAAAATAGATTAAGGTGATTAGTGACCGAACTGTGCCACACGACGTCAAGGGACTTCGGAAGTTCCTGAGAAAATTGGAACACTAGCACAAGAACTTGCGCAACTACGCCGAGATGACCGTATATCTCTTCTGTTTGTTAGAGAAAAACGAGAGGTGGTACTGAAGTACTTATCGTCAGCAATCCTTCGAAGGTATAAAGAAAAGCTTGTTACAATTAACTGTGTTGGCGATTGCAGATCAGGATAGACCACTCTATGTGGTCTGTGACGCCAGCGATTTTGCAATCGGCTGCGCGTTTTTGCAGTGCGACTCAGACGGCGCTGAGCGCCTCGTATGTTACCTATCGCGTCAGCTGCAAGCAGCTGAGCGTTATCACCCAGTGCATGACAATAAATATGCACTGGCTAAGTTTCGGGTACATCTCTTAGGAAATATGCCCTTCATCGTTTATACCGATCATTCGTCGTTACGCACGGCCGCAAATAGTTCACACCTCTCGCAACAAATGGCGAGGTGGCTGTCTTTCTTCACGGAGTACAACTTCTCTGTCGAGCATAAACTAGGACGACTCAATGTCGACGCTGATTCTCTTTCGCGTCGGCACGATTTGGAGCCGATTGCTAAACCCAACAGTCCTGGTGATCCCACTGTTGCAACGCTAACAGTGAGTGTTCCGTCATCGAATCTACTCGGCGACGTGCAAAGGGCATACGCAGAAGATAATACTCTTCTACGATTGATGGATTACGTAGCCAATCCGTGCAGTCAAGCTTTGAAAAGCTTGTTGTCTCAATACCGTTCTTCAACCGAACGGTATTCTGTCCGTGACGGACTGCTGTACTATACAGCATTCAACGGCGACACACCTCGTGTCGTCGTTCCGGCTCATAATGATTTGCGATTGCGCACCATGTATGGGTGTCACGATGCCCCAACAAGTGGACATCGCGGTAGAGAAAAGACTTACCTCACGGTAAGTCGTAACTTCTACTGGCCCCGCCAGTATGAGTTTGTGCGGAAATACATTCGCGCTTGCGAAGTTTGTTAACGGGTGAAGCCTAGTCCTTCATCCAGTGCACCCTTGCAGCCTCTACCGATTCCGGCAGAGTGCTGGCAGTCCGTATCGATGGACTTCGTCTTCGGGTTTCCCAAAGACGTTCACAAGATTAATGGTATTCTTGCGTTTGTTGATCGGTTCAGCAAGATGGTACATCTTGTTGCTGTACCAGAGTCCATCACAGCCCAGGGCTGTGCTCGTGTCTTCATCGATGCGATCTTCCGACTTCACGGGCTATGCCGTGAGCTCGTGTCTGATAGGGACTACCGCTTCGCAGCGGATTTCTGTCAATCTGTGTTCCGTTCACTTAGAACACGTTTGACGATGTCAACTTCTGACCATCCCGAAACATATGGTCAAACGGAACGCTTCAACCGCGTTCTCGAAGAGATACTTCGAGGGTATGTCCACTCGTTTAAGAGCTGGAGTGAGTTCTTGCCAATGGCGGAATTCGCCATCAACAACTTGGTGCACGCGTCGACAACGCATACACCGTTCTTTGTGAATGGCCTACGCCATCCACGTTTGCCCGCCTTCCTAGAGTGTGACTATAGTTTTAGGGTGGGGGACTCACTCGAACAAAACCGATCTGGTTCTTGCTCATCACCCGTCGACAATGGTGTCGACGTGATGGATGCCGATGTCGATGGGATCGATGTCGATGATGACGATGACGACAATGCTGGCATATTCAGCATCACCAATGACCGCCAAAGTGAGGACGACGATACCCTCACTGGTGAAGACAGCGTTCTTTCAGCAGTGCACACGAAGAGCACCACTGTTGACAAGGATGAATCAGCAGAGGAATTTCTGCTGACTCGCAAAGCGGTTGTCCGCTTCGTTCAAGACTCTATTGCAGATGCATTAGACAGACAAAAGAAAAACGCAGACAAACATGGAAGAGCAAATTTTCTTTCATTTGATATAGGAGACCTAGTTTTACTGTCTACAGTAAACTTACCGAAGCGCACAGTGACAAACGTGTGCAGCAGTAAATTACTGCCCAGGTATATCGGTCCATTTCGTGTGTTGCGCCGAATGAGCAACGCATACACGATTGAACTGCCCCTTAAGATGCGTACGCATCCTACGTTTTACGTTGGTCGTCTCCGCCCGTACTATCAGTACGAGCCCGTTTCGAGATGCGAAGAACACCTCCACGGTCGAGAGCCGAGACCACCCTCGAGTGGTCCCGTTTCAACGAGACAGTCTGGTCGACTAGCGAAGCTACCTGTTCACGCATCTCAGCGATGTCTCGACGAGCAGCAGCCAGCTCATCACGAAGAGAACGAGTCGAACGTTCGTTCCCAAGCTGCGCGAACGCAAAAGCGGCGCGATCGTCCGAATGATCGTGCGCTAAGGAATTGTAATTATCCCTTACAAGATCTTGAAGATCATAACGCCGAGTTCGTTCATGAGCCAGGTCATCTTGCAACTTTTCCGTCACACTGGAAGCTCCTGAACATCAAGCTGATCCGACCCTCGAGTCGGATCAAGTGTTCTCGCCGCCACCACATCCTCTGGTGGGCTCTGTTGGTGGTCAACGCTTTCTAGTGGAGCGTATTTTGAACCACCGCGATGTGAATGGAGTCAGGACAAGTTACCTCGTCCGCTGGCGTGGCTATCCACCGGCGTGGGACAGCTGGGAGCCTCGTGTCCAGCTGATTGTTGATGTTCTTGGTTTCGTCGAGCAGTACGACGAGACCCACCCGCTGCGTTCGAAGAAGGGACGTCGGAAAAAGAATTCTTAGAACGCGAGTATAGGGATTGCAAAGAGTTTATCCCTTCGGCCATCTCGGAAGAGATGCGCGCCCTCCAGTAGGGATCATTGGGAGGTAGTCCTCCCTAGGGGCACGATTCAAGATGTCCAGGCAACCTGGACACGAAATACCCCACGAGAGACAGGGTAATCCTGCCTCTCTTGAAAGCCGGTGCAACTTGTATCGCGCCCCGACGGGGTTGCGTTTCTCAAACCTGATTCGAGCTGCATCAAGTTTACCGAGCCAAGCCTCACGGCCAATACACTCGATGTTGTGGATGAGGGCATTCCATCCCTGCGCGAAGGCTTTGCAGTCTCGTACACGGCTACCATTGTACCACCGATGTTTGAAAAACGCATCGGTGAAGAACTCTTTCTCAGCACGGATAGTTTCCGTGCTAAAATCAGGAGGGCAAATCTTCCAGCAATCGAACAACGGGATGCGATCCCGTTTGGTAGTCGTGCCGGCCAACCGGTCCAACTCTTTAAATGACGGCAACCATAGAGACTCCACTTGGGGAGCGTGGCGCAGAACATTTCGGTCCCTGGCCTCTTGATTGGTGCCAGCATGAGCACTGGAACCAGTGTTACCCCGATCCCTCGAATTTCTTAGCTCGTGGTGATATATGGGTGCATTACCACCCTTCCCACGCGTCCTGTCGCTGGATGGACTTGCGTGAGGCGGAGATTCGTCGAATTAATTAATCGATTCGAAAAGCTCGAGCATGATGCCACCACATTGACCAGAGCCAGTCAACCTGGCTCTTGCAGTGTCCGCCCCGGGTGATTCGGAAGCGTTAGGAGCCGCCTTCGAGTCGGCTGCATCATCCGACTCGCCAGAATAGATGATATCTATGTCGGGCTCATTTGGATTGCGGTTCGAGGTACTCGCTGCAGACGCAACGGATGTACCTGTCGCACGTGCTGAATCACCACGTGGAGGGTTCACGACAACAGACGACGAATTGCCTGTTGTTGAGGTGTGAGAGGCGCTTTCCCCGGCCGCGCGCATGCGTTCAGACGCCCTTCTTGCTGCTGCAGTAGCAGCTCCCGTGCTTTTTGAAACCATGCGTTGGATTGGCAAATGAATGGAATTTGACCAACAAGTGCTCCCTTACCCAGAGTGATCCAATGGTGGTCACCCTGTCTCAATCAATTCTGAATCAATCAACGGGTGATTGGTGGTTTGGGGGGTGATGTAACGGGGTAGCCCATTACACGAAATTGACACCAAACGGTGTTAATAGGAACATTGTCTAGCATGACAAAATTCAACCAATGTTTTCCGAGAAGGATAATATTGAAGGAATATTATCCCCTTTTAGGATATTATTATGCGCTGATCCAAGATTGGTTGATATAAGACATATCAACCATGGATTGCCACCAATCGCTGCTAGATGCGCGCGATGAGTGGTGAGCAGGTTGTCGACATACGACGACGTAGTTTAATGTAGTCGGATGAAGATTAAAGTTATTTTGATAGCTTGACTACATTATTTGTAGTTCTCTTTTTACCCTTACTTGAACGAGTCGTTCAAGTAGATTAGCTTCCTATGCACGTACTAGTGTACGTGAATGTTTCGCGGCACCCCAAGCAAAGGGTGCCCCGTTACACATAGGGTACTTTAAGTAGGATTTTCTTTGATGTAACAAATAAACAAAGTTCAGTTCTCATGTTGAGCAGAAGTTTCCAGATATCCCCCCCTTCGCACACTGTGCCCTGCAGTTCCTTAGAACTGCCGTAGCTTAGAGATTCCTTAGACTCCTACTCCTCTGGATGTTGTGCTTGTGGTTCTCTAGAACTACACAGTAGTTGAGCTGTTAGCTCGTAGAGTCCACCCGAGTTCCGTAAAACTGGGTGACTCTTTAACTTGATATAGTAGTTACGTAGAACAAATAGGCTGTCAGCCGTAAGCCACTGGCTTGTTAGATAAGTCTTCCTCTGACTTAAAGAGCCGTATAGATACGCTACAGTTGAACTTTCAGATCGTACTTATCTGTGTATGTGTCTGCAAATAATACGGTTAGGTGATTTCGCACGTACTGAGTACGATCAAGCCTGTCCCCCCCCATAGGTATATAGGCATATCCGAAGTTACTCTTTGGCTCGATTAATATGGTAGTGCTCCACCGTGATTGGATTAAAATCAATGCTGTGCATGTTCTCAAAAAAAACGAAATGCTAGACGCCCATTAGAATAGGCTGATCGTATTTTCCAAGTGTACTGGACTGAGTTGTTACAGACATTAACATCATCATACTCCTTTTTCAGGGACTTCTGCTATAAAGTGCTTTGCAACTTGATCCAGTTCTACGAACTGGATTGCTTGTATTAAAGAGTGCCACTTAAAGCTTGCTCTCCTATCTTAAGGCCAGTAGACGATTGTCTAGATCCCTCGACTAGAGATCCCATTCGTTTGGCTATTTGTAATAAGGAGACGTGTATGCGAGTCGTTCTTCGAGGTCATAAGAGCTTCGGTGAAACGATCTTATTGTGTCATCAAGATTGCGATAGATCTTACGTCTTTCTGAGAGCATCGAGACACTGCAACAAAAATGTTGTGTGACAAAAGGACCGGGATTATCTCGACACTACGCGAATGTAAGCGAGAGAGATGCTGTGACAGTATACAAAAATTGTACTGTGGTAATGTCGTTGTTAGTTTTGGAGATGGTAAGTACTGGCAACCTGTATTGGAAACGCCAAATGATGTCCTCGCCTGTAAGCTGCCGCTTTTACAAAAATGAACAGAAGTAAGAAGACTGAACAAACCGTTGCCAAATCCTTTTTAAAACTCGTGCTATCATCCCCCTAACTGATATGATGACATCATTTAATATGCTCACAACGATAGCACCGGCCGACAGCATTTGTTTTGCCGGTGCAGAACAAGCAATTCCACAAAAATCGCCTTCGATGCTATATGTAGCAATAGAAGCTATATTGCATATAGACAGCTTTATAGTAGGATAAGGGGCAAGAGGTACTGGCTTGTTCGCGCGTCGGTATTATTACAACCGAGGTATGACCGATTACCCTTAACACGGAGATATCATGTGTACCTCACAATGATCGAGATAGCTTAGATCACGCATGTCCCATCTTCCTGCGTGTCGACCGAACACGTGAGCAAAAGAGAACACTAACTCCTTTTGGACTGGAACGGCTACTGCCGAACTTGCAGCACTTGTGGCGGCTGAACCTGTAAATAGTCGTTTCAGGATCTGCTCGATCTCGTCTGGTGTTTTGCCACACTTTGCAAGCTTCAGCACCAAGTTCACGCGGTCCTTATTATATAGAGAATAACTTGGATTCAACTCTTGCTGCATCTGGGAGGTGGTAGCCGTGCTACGAGGCTCTAAGATACCCCGCGCTTCCTAACTCTCACGAAGCTTATTTGCACACTAAGCAATATCGGGATACGCACAATGGAGGACGTTCCCTGTGTGACATGACACAAAGAAAAGGGAACACTTCCAGTTCGTCTCCATGGTGAAAAGTTCCCATTCACCAGGTTTCGTAGGATCGAACACGCATTCCCCCGACGTTCGTACTTGCAGGAAGCGGCCTTGCGTCGAGACTGGATAGCGACCTTGTCGTCACGAACATGGTGCAGAATGACGTGCTCGTATATGTCACGATTGTCCGTCTGGCAACGAGCTTTTTGGACCCGGGAGGATTCTGCAGATTTTTCTTTTTTTTCGTATCATTTGGATGATTACTGGCACATTGAACGGAATGTCGGACAGGTCCATGGTGCAAAATCGATAGTGTTTGGCAAAGGCTGAGGAAGTTAAAGAGTCTTGACTTCAGACATCACTTATCAGGATCGTTATATGAATTTTCTAGAGCAACAGAGGATAGATCAGTCGCACACCAGATGATGCCGTTATATGTTGAGCGACGAACTTGATACAACGTCTGCGCTAGTACAAATGTTTTTCGTAAATTTGTTGTTCTGACGGTTTGCTACAACGGTCACACCTTTTTAGTAGAAGCGGAGCCTCCATTAAAACAATCTTGGCAGTAGAGATGGGGTGTGCTAGTAATGTAATACCGATAGAAATCGGCTGTAAGAACAATGACGCAGGTCGCCCATCAGATTCTAATGCAGTCAATAATCAAGCTGACCGATTTTTATTTTGATACCCTTTTTTGGTCCGCGCAAGACTCTGATCCCTATTCGGCACTCGCGGATACTTTGAATACAATTGGAACGAGTGTAGTCCATCATAATACACAAGTGTAGAGTGGATCAATGTCTTTACTTCCCGTATAATCAAACTGTTAAAGTTTTGATATCCAAAGAACGCTTATCATAAGACAATTGGTCAACAAAGGCTGTAATTGTGGCTGCTAATCGAGAGCATGATTATATAATTCGGAAGTTAAATGTACGCGGCATATGAGATTAAGCCTGATCAATTTTCACTCGAAGACGGATAGCTTCGTACTAGCAGCAGTCCACAAGGTCAACTGACCTACTCTCGCGCCTGTGTCCGCACAGTCGCAATCATGACAATCCATCCTCTAGATGCAACTTTCATGCGTAACTCATCAATCGTGAAAGCCATTGTCATGCCTGACTCTCCCTCCTTCATGTCGATCTAAATGCTGCGAACAAGTGAGCGCGTGAAGATTACGCCTATCCCTTTGTAACTGGGACAGCGACTGCCGAGCCCGAAGTTGTTGTGGCGGCTGGACCGTCAAACAATCTTGTCACGATCTGCTCGATCTCGTCCGGTGTTTTGCCGCACTTTACCAGGTCCATGACAAAGTTTTGGCGATCTTTATTAGTCAGAGAACAGTAATTTAACGCATACTGCATCTGAGGTGTGGTAACCGTGCTGCGGGGCTCAACGATCCTCCAAGCTTCCCAATACTCACGTAGCTGATTTCCACACTGGACGACACCGTGGTCCGCACATTGGAGGACTTTTCCCGTGTGGCAAGACACAAAGTACAGCGAACACTCAGAATTCGTCTCCATGGTGAAAAGTTCCCATTCACCGGGTTCCGTAGGATCGAATACGCATTCCCTGTAACGGGGCACCCTGAAGCTTGTACTGGTGACAGTACAAGCTACTTATTCTGATAACAGAATAAGGCGGTGCCTCGTAACTTCACGTACACTCGTACGTGCAGAGGAAGACGGTAAGAAGAAGCGAGTACTCGGTTAGAGTAAAAAGTAGAACTGTATTTATAATAGTTAATGTCTGCAATAAATCACTATTTATCTTCATCTAACTATGTCTAAATACAAATGTGTAAATCAGTTATCTGCTCACCACTCATTGCGTGCGTCTGTCGTGGCGCGTCTTCGTTGGTTGATATAATGGCCTATATCAACCAATTAGGAACTACTTGGAAGTGCTACAGAATATTGTCCTTATGACAATATTCTGAGAATATAACTCTTATAGTTATATTCTATTAACAATTTCTTATAAATTGTTATGTAACGATTCACCCCGTTACATCACCCCCCTTAACCATCAGTCACTTTAGTGACTGATTGACTAAATGGATACTCGTCCCAAATCATTTGGGACGGGGGTTTGCACTTGTTGGTCCGCGTCCACTTTCCAACATCTCATCGCATGGTAAACAAGCCCATGCGATGCGCGAGCAAGGCCGCCGAGAGCGCGTCTGCACGTCTCTGTGCGGACGCCGAAGCAGAAACTACAGCAACTGATATCCCATCGGTTGCTGAATCGACTCAGCCTGTATCACCTGGTGATGCAGGCGCTGGTCATGAAGACACTCGTGTCTTCACAGAGTACGAGCTCGGTGTCTCGTACTCTCCTGATACGGATGACGGATCCGTATCGACGGCAATTGAATCCAAGCCGCCTGCCAAGCGTGGCATGGACGATGCTTTGCGTCGCAGCATCTTTGGTTCATCTGACTCATCAGATGAACCATCGCCGAAGCGAAGGCGCTCGAGGTCGCGAGACTCGGGCGCTAATAGTGGTGTCGTTTCTCCAATGGACACCACTTCACAGCGAGGTGCCAGTACTTCTGTCGGCACGTCGCAGGAAGAGCGGGACCGCAATGTGTTGCGTCTCGCTCCAGAAAAGAAGGCATGGATGCCTCCTAAATCTGTCATGGATCACTTGTCGGCGACGACGAGTGATCGTTATCGAACACGATTGTTCGATTCGTCAAGATCCATCACCTTGACCCCAGCGCGAAAGACTATCGCGCTGAACATGAGTTCTTCATCGATGCTTTCTTCAGACATCGATGGTACAGTGGGAATCACAAACGTGATGGTCCCTCACTACTTCAGGCGTGGAACGCCTACATCCATAATCTCGAGGATGTAGGTCGTGACGCTTGGAACGACAAACTTATCAAAGCTCGTGATAAGTTTGAAAAGCGAACCCCGACAGGTGCACGCTATAAGCTGCATCGTCTGTCAAGGGAGAAAGGATTACCCTGCCTCTCTTGGGGAGACTCGTGCCCATGTTGTGTGAACAACTCTGCACGAGCACCTAAGGAGGCTTACCTCCTTACCAGCCCGTGGTGGCGCGTACGTGTCTCTACTGAGATGTACGAAGGGATTGACAACCTGAAATCCCTTTACGACCGTGCCGGGAAGACTTTCTCCGGCGGTCCTTCTGCGGCACAGGATGTGTCGCGTCGTACTGCTCGACCAGACCCAGTACGTCAACCATCAATTGGGAGCGGGGCTCCCAAGAATCCCAGGACGGGGGATAGCCGCGCCACCGGACGAGGTAACTCGTCCGACGTCCGTTCACGTCGCGGTGGTTCAACAGCTGCTCAACTAGATAGCGCTGGCCACCGCGAGAGTCCTCTAATGGAGGTGGGGGAGGAGGAAAGACGCTCTCCACACGATCATGTGGATCGGTGTGTTCCCGAGAGCTTCTTTGATCGCGTAACGCAAGGGTTACGCGACGATCTCGAGCATGAGCGGAATAGGCGTCTCCAGATGGTGGACACTGCCTCGAAGCATCGAGCTGAGTTTGCCTTTGCTCAGCTTGAGAACGAGAGATCTCTGACATCTCTTCGTGACGAGCTAAGGGTAGCTCGTGGGATTGTTGATCGGTCTCGGGCTGAGATAACTGCTCTTCAGACCCTTGTTGATGCCCACCATCGGGAGCACAAGGCTCTCTGCGAGATGCTTGAGCGCAAGGGCGTTCTTCATCGGAAGAAGCAGCGTACTGATGGTACGGCTTAAGCCGACCAACGTAAAACGTGGGATGCGTTCGCATCTTACGTGGTAACTCGATCGTGTATGCATTGCCTAGGCGGTGCAATACACGAAATGGGCCAATGTACTTGGGTAGTAGTTTACTGCTACCCAAGTTAGTCACTACATGTTTTGGTAGATTAACCGTAGACAGTAGGACTAAGTCACCTTTATTAAATAAAAGAGTGTTTGCCCTTCCATTCTTGTCAGCGTTTTGCTTTTGCTTATCCACCGCTTCGGCGATGGAGTCTTGCACAAAACGGACTACCGTTTCACGAGCCAGTATGAACTCATCTGATGACTCGTTAGCTTCAGTGTGCTGTGAGCGCACTGCAGCGACAACAACCTTTTCTTCAGTGAGGGCTTCCGCACTCTCACTGGGATCATTGTCTTCAGTGAGGGCTTCCGCACTCTCACTGGCATCATCTTCTTCGATATCGATGTTATCGATATCGGCATCAAACGCAATGACTTCTTCGTCAGAGCGTGATGAGCGTGAACCAAATCGGTTTTTGCTCGCGCGAGTCCCTCCCCCCTTCAAACCAGAGTTACACTCTAGTAAGGTGGGTACACGCGGATGGCGCAAGCCATTCACGTAAAACGGTGTATGTGTCGTGGACGCATGCACCGAGTTGTTGATGGCAAACTCTACCATTGGCAAAAACTCACTCCAACTCTTAAAGGAGTGTACGTATCCTCGAAGTATCTCTTCGAGGACACGGTTGGCACGTTCCGTCTGACCATCTGACTCTGGATGATCAGATGTTGACATCTTCAAGCGCGTTCCGAGTGATTTGAACACGGAACGCCAGAAATCAGCAGTGGAGCGTGGATCTCTGTCTGAAACGAGTTCACGGGGCAACCCATGAAGTCGGAAGATGGTGTCAATAAAGACACAAGCACAGCCACTTGCCGTGATTGTCTCTGGTACAGCCACAAGGTGTACCATTTTGCTGAATCTGTCAACAAATACGAGAATACCCGTATTCCCGCGTGCGTCTTTGGGTAACCCGAAGACGAAATCCATTGAGATGGATTCCCAGCACTCAGCCGGAACCGGTAGAGGCTGTAAAGGTGCACGCAGTGAAGGACTTGACTTCACTCGTTGGCAGACTTCGCATGCGCGAACATACTTTCGCACAAACTGATACTGGCGGGGCCAGTAAAAGTCTCGACTTACCGTGAGATATGTTTTCTCTCGGCCACGATGTCCTCCTATAGGAGCATCGTGATACTCGAACATGATCCGCAAACGCAGATCAGTATCATCTGGAATGACAACACGTGGTGTGTCACCAGAAACGGCTGTATAGTACAGTAAACCGTTACGAGTAGTGTATCGATCTGATGCAGATCGATACGCAGACGACAATCGTTTCAACGATTCTCGAGATGGTTGGGAGAGATGTGACAACAACTTCACTATCTCACCATCTTGGGCGTATGCCCGCCTCACATCATCATACAACGTTGTAGATGGAACTGAGGACGTCATAACCGCAACAGTGACTGTCTCACTGTTGGGTTTCGCGACTGTTTCAAAGTCGGGACGACGTGAGAGTGCATCAGCGACGACATTAAGTCGTCCTGGTTTGTACTCGACCGTAAAGTTGTATTCTGCAAAGAATGACAACCACCGCGCCATTCGTTGTGAAAGGTGCGGGCTGTTCACTGCCGTGCGTAAGGACGCATGGTCAGTGTAAACAACGAAGGGTCTATCTCCTAATAGATAGACTCTGAACTTCGCGAGTGCATACTTCATGGCAAGGAGTTCCTTGTCATGCACTGGATAGTTCCGCTCAGCTGGTTGCAGCTGACGCGACTGATAGCAGACGACGCGTTCAACGCCTTCAAGGTCGTACTGCATTAATGCACAGCCGATTGCGAAATCGCTGGCATCACAGACCACATGAAATGGCCTGTCCTGATCGGCTATTGCTAGGACTGGGGATTGTATCAAGCTCTGCTTGATACCCTCAAAGGAGCGTTGACATTCAGCGTTCCATAACCACCTCTCGTTCTTTTTCAACAAACGAGAGAGGTGCACAGTCATCTCGGCGTAATTGCGTGAATACTTATGCAAATACGCCGCTAGCCCAAGGAATTTTCGAAGACCTTTGACATCGACCGGCACAGGCCAGTCGGTGATCGCCTTGATCTTTTCGGGATCAGGACGTACACCGTTCTTACCAACGATGCACCCAAGAAGTGGTATTTCGCTTGCTGCAAATATACACTTCTTGAGGTTTGCATACAATTGATGCTTTCGCATGATTGTAAGAACTTGTCGGACGTGGTACTTGTGAACCTCAACGTCCGACTTTCCATCCATAGCTCGACTATGGATGAATACGTCATCGAAATAACTCGGCGCGAATTCTCGTACTGGCCTCAACAGATGTGATACACACCTGTTGAACGTGGCAGGGGCATTACTGAGCCCTTGTGGCATTACTAGCCATTCCCAGAGCATGCCGCTAGGCGTGCTAACTGCGGTATAGGGTATATCCCGTTCCCGCATTAGGATTTGATAGAAGCCATCCATCAAATCCATGGACGAAAAGATGGTACTCTTTGACATACCATCAATGATTACGTCCTTCCTCGGTATCGGCGTCTGAGCCGGTACCGTTGCAGCGTTCAATTTGTTAAACGCGTGCACTATCCGCCACCCTCCTGTTGCTTTTCGCACACAGAAGGTCGGAGAGCTATGTGGGGAAGTTGATTCCCTCACATGGCCCGCTGCTAAACGATCGGCAAAGAACTTGTCGATCGCAAGTACTTGTTCACGAGGCAGTGGCCACTGCTTCATGACACAGTACTTCGAGCCTGGTTTAAGCTCGACTTCGTGTCGAATACCTTTATCCTTCGGTAATTCGCACGGAACAGTTTCAGGGAATACATCCTTGAATTCAACCAAATCCTCATAGAGAGGGTTTTCCTTGAGCGATTCCCATGATTGGGACTCATATCGCTCAATTCGTGTCTTTTCATCTAGGACACTCTCGTCCATAGATGAACTACTGAGAACTCTCTCGTTCTCAGTAAACACTGTTGCTGACCTTATGTCGGTTACATACTCGTCGTCAGCGACGAGTATGCAGATCTGCTTGACTTTGCCACTACGCAGATCACGCAAGAACCTTTTATGTTCGAGCGTTGGCAACTGAGTGATCTCCGAAGTTAACTTCGGAGGCGCAATCAGATCAAGTGTATAAGCGCCTACACATGATCCGTTATTGACTATGACATTCAATGTCTCTGTCATTTCCTGGGGACTTATTCCCTCAGGCTTCGAAGGACTTATTCCTTCGTCTTCCCGGGGACTTATTCCCGCGGGTTTCGGGGAACTTATTTCCGCCGTATTTGTAATCTTGGGACTTATTCCCTTTACTTCCTCTAGCTGGGGTTGCGCAACCACAGCGAGATCCTCTACGAAAGACTCTCCAGTCGATCTAGGATTATCGTTTCGCTTAACCTGAGCGATCGATTGTTTCTCTTCTAGATGTTCCCCTCTAGGGATACATCTTTGTCCCAGTCCACCCGACTTATTCGAGTGGTGGACCTTCGGCGCAGCCTGTGTTTCCTCACAGCCGCCGGAACTTTGCTCCGAAGTGTAACCGTTTGGTACACTAAGGTTTTGTGCAGTCGTACTAACGACCGTACCACAAGTGAGGCCATCGCACTCACTCGTAGTACATCCACACGCTTGTGGACGCTCCAAAACGTTCATCAGATGGCCATCTGATGAACAAGCGGCAGGCATCGTTACTGTCCGATGTTGCCAGTTTACCCGTGGTTCGTACCTTCTGAGCCACGGTATTCCAAGGATGACATCAAATTTGTCATCCAAATCCAATACGATAAAGTCATCGTCGTATTGGGTATCTTCTAGCGTATAGTGAATCTTCACTATACGCTTCATGACGGTTACGGATGCGCCTGTCGCAAGACGTACCGTCATCCTCGTAGGAGGTGTGTCACATTCACTGAATTTAAAGTGACCATCTTCTAGCGATTGGCGTCGCACAAAATTGTTGGACGCCCCACAATCGACTAGAGCTCGAAGGGACAACTTATTCGTCACTTCGAGTTTCAAGGTAATGAGTGAGATCTCATTACCTAGAGCAGCAACGCACAATGTCTGTGTGTTGGGAGCAACCTTCATCAAGAGGCCTACAAATTCTCTTGACGTTGCTGGATCAGTAGGGTGCTCCGCACCTACTGATCCTGTCCGTTTTTTGACGGTCCATCCCGTTGTTGCGTCTTTGCACCAACTGCGGACCCTCGTCCCTGCCCCTTTCTCATGGGTGGACGGTCACTACGCCCAGTGTCGCGAGACACTGGACGAGGGGCACTACACTCGTAAGCGTAGTGTCCTGTCTTTTGACATCTGTTGCATCTCTGCAACTTCTTGTAGCCTGTAGAGCGAGCCTTCTCGCTCTCTACATAACAGAGTTCCATCGGCTCTGGACCTCCGTTGTCATATCGTCTCGGTTGACGATATGATGTCGAGCTGGCGCGAGCCTGTCTCAGACTGAAGTCTTCCTGCTCCGCAATTGAAATGGCTTGTTCTAGTGAATCTAGTTCAAGCCGGAACAGGTGAGTCTTGACGGGACCATCCGCAAGACCCTGCATGAACACCGAAACCAACGTGTGTTCATCCACCGGATTGGAACTTATACAACTCGTGAGATGTCGTATATGTTGAGCGTAAGCGTGCACATCACGCTTACCCTGCTTGAGCTTCAAGAGTTCGGTTCGAGCTCTGAACTCAGCTCTAGGCGGTTCAAACGTTTGTCTGAGCCGCGACTTGAAGACTTCCAACGACCCAAACGCATATGGGTCGTGCAGCTTGAGCCCCAGTGCCCAAGTCTTGGCACGTCCTGCCAGATTTGACTGGGCAAATGCAACTTGCATATCCCCGTCGTCGATGCGACGCGCCCTTATGGCGTCATCCAATTCGACGAACCATCTCAAGAGGGAGTCTTCTTCGACCCCTCTATACTTTGAGATGTCAATCTTCAAAGTCTCGGGTCGACGCGAGTGCATCGACCCGCCAGCAGCAGCTTGCTGCTGTCTCAACAGTTCAAACTGTTGAGCACCTTGTTCTCTCAACAACTCTGCTTGTTGAGAACCTTGTTGGTGAAGCAAGGCTACTTTCTCGCGTTCTGCGTCAAGTTCATTTTGAATGAACTTGGCGATAGTAGCATGTTGGGCATCTCTATTGAGAGCCTCTAGCATGACGCTAACAGCATGGATGCCCATGGTCGAACCCATTCGTTCAACCGCATCCCATTCGACATCGCTCAAATGGGAGTAGCCGTCACGCGTAGCGTGAAAGCTTTGGTCATCTTCATCATCCAACATATTCATGTTGGATGTGAACGCGGTCCTTGGACGGACTACGAAGTGCTACCAGGTGTAACGGGGCACCCTGAAGCTTGTACTGGTGACAGTACAAGCTACTTATTCTGATAACAGAATAAGGCGGTGCCTCGTAACTTCACGTACACTCGTACGTGCAGAGGAAGACGGTAAGAAGAAGCGAGTACTCGGTTAGAGTAAAAAGTAGAACTGTATTTATAATAGTTAATGTCTGCAATAAATCACTATTTATCTTCATCTAACTATGTCTAAATACAAATGTGTAAATCAGTTATCTGCTCACCACTCATTGCGTGCGTCTGTCGTGGCGCGTCTTCGTTGGTTGATATAATGGCCTATATCAACCAATTAGGAACTACTTGGAAGTGCTACAGAATATTGTCCTTATGACAATATTCTGAGAATATAACTCTTATAGTTATATTCTATTAACAATTTCTTATAAATTGTTATGTAACGATTCACCCCGTTACATTCCCCCGACGTTCGCACTTGCAGGAAGCGGCCGTTGCGTCGAGACTGGATAGCGACCTTGTCGTCGCGAACATGGTGCAGAATGACGTGCTCGTAATAATCACGATTGTCCGTCAGGCAACGTGCTTTCTTGGACCCGAGAGGATTCTGCAGATTTTTTTCTGAGCGTAACGAATGGAGTATCACCGGCACGTCGAACGGAATCTCGGACAGGTCCATTGTGGTTATTCTAAGTGATTCGTGGAAGGCTTAAAGAGAAATGTGTTTGACTTTATATATCACTGCTAGTAAAAATCAATACAAGAATAAATGAGCGGCGGTGAATGGACACGGTTCGTCCAGATTGATACGATGTATTTGGTAATATTATTTTGGGAATGACTATCCTCACACCCAATTTTCGCTTTCAATTCAATTCTTACACCGGCAAACATAATGTCAACATTGGTGGCTTGCTACTATGCAATAAGTACTTGACAATGCAATACATCTAGCTTTACTTACACTGTAACGGGATAGTCCGTCACATGATATTGACACCAAACGGTCTCAATAGGAACATTGTCTAGCATGACAATTTCCTACCAATATTATCTGAGATAAATAAAATTGAAGGAATATTATCCCCTTTTAGGATAGTATTTATGCGCTGATCCAAGATTGGTTAATATAAACAAATAAACCATAGAATACCACCAGTTGCTGCTAGACGCGCGCAATGAGTGGTGAGCAGGTTGTCTTCATACGACGACGTAGTTTAATATAATAAGATAAAGATTACAGTCATATTGGTTAGCTTAACTATATAAAATGCAGCTCTCTTTTTACCCTTTACTCAACATAGCTGTTGAGTACATTAACTATTTCTGCACGTACTCGTGTACGTAGAGTTTCGTGCCACCCCAAACAAAGGGTTCCCCGTTACATACACGGTCTACATGTTTCTCCTACCCCGGACGCCCATTACGTATTGCGGACTACTTACTTACGAGCTAATTTTTGCTAGTTTGTGACGCTTGATTAAATTAAACCGGGGAAGCGCTTATTCGAGTGCGATCTGCGATAGCTTGGGCTTTATTGTAAACGGGTTACACGTTGTTGGGTACTTGGTACCCTGTGTCCAAGACACACGGATGACATCCCACTGAAAGAGATACATGATATATCATCGGTTTATAGGGGCTGACTAGTGTCAGCCACCAGATAGGAGAGATCTCAGCTGTACTAACTTAGGATAAGTGTCTAGATTAGGATTAAGATATTCTATAGGTTTAGATGTAAATAAAATTCAGTTTCCCTTTTGATCTTAAAGGCACGTACCTTGCGAGGCGTCTTTGGTCGTTGATCACTGATCACCAAGAGTTAGAAACACCTCCTTGAGGTAGCTAGTTGATCCTGAGCACTCAGTGCTGTCGATTCACTGAATCGTTTGGTTCCCTGGAACGAGGACCATAATCTTTACACTTGTTGACTTATTGAGTATAGATCTTTAGAACTAAGTTGCTCGTTGCGCGTTAGGTCTTCCTTTGACTTAAGGATCTGCGTAGCTCTGCTACACTTGGTAGCACTTGTAGTCAATTTACGCTTGAGTCTATTTAGACTGATCCTCTGTGAGGATGGGAAATTCCATTTTCCTCTCTGAGGCCCAAAACGTCCCGCTTGATTAGCTGACCGCGTCTTTGTGTCCAGAGTACGTGGAGTTCCTTGTTTCACTAGGCCCTGAGGTGCTAAATGCACGTGTTGAAGGCTTCATGCAGTAGAGCGACCCTTCTAGGGCAGGTCCAAGACCAAGTAGAGTTGGCTATGCCTACACGCTATGTTTCTGTACCAGACGAAGAGGATAGACCTCGTCCACTTAGAGTGGAAGTTATGAACTACTCTGGTAAGGAGGGTAAAAACCTCTTCCTCTGAATCAGTGAGATTGAGATGGCCATGAGACCAGTCCTGATAAAGCTCGACCATCAACAGGTCTCGCTGGCTATTTCGAAGCTCGATGGAAGAGCTAGAGAATAGGCCTTGACATGTAGCACGCCTGTTGAGTCGCTAAATTTACAATTAGTACAGGTGTTCTCACCACCTAACCAAGCCTACCGCGTGCGCTCACGCTTTTTATCTACCCGTCAGAGTAAGAATGATCTATTGGACTATATCCGATAGTTGAGAACTCTCATGGCTGCAATGCAGTCTGACCCTCTGTCTGAGGCAGTTCATGTGACTATATTCATGGAACGTCTTCGTACTAGCATTGCAGAACAGAAGTTTTTGGGTTCACCCCTCTAATTTCGAAGAACCGTGAGAATTGCTCTCAATGCTGAGCATAACTTCAAGTTGGCCAGGCTTGGCTGGAATGGGTACAACCCTAGCTCTGCGAGATCAAACCACACGAGTTATCCGGCCTTTGACAGGCCGGAACCGATGGATCTTAGCCATGCTGAAGCTAAAGGTGAAGTTGAACTTCAAACTGCTGAGCAGCAACGCGTCGCACGACGATGTTTTACGTGCGGAAGCACTAAGCACTTGCGGCATGGTTGCCCTTTGCGTAAACAGCGTCATGCTACAAGCTAAATTCAACCCCGTGCTAAACGTCTGGCATGGCACGGGGGGATGCCGACACCCAGTAGACTCGGGGTGCCCATAAGGGGAAGAATTGGTTCTGTTAACACATTTTGGAGGTAAAGTTAGACAGGGCTTAGCCCCAAAGAGCTCCGTACCTATGGCATAGAGCGTGGATACGAGTCTGACTTGTTAGTCGCCGAGTCGAAAATTAAGGGCTTTGAAGGGCCTTGGTCGGTATTGATCGACTCTGGAGCGTCTTACAATTATGCTCGACGTCGTTGCCTTGAGGGAAGTCAGCGTTATGCTGAGGCGCTTGCAGGAGGATTCTTCTATCATGGTTCGTTTAGC